ATTGGCTGCGGGATGAGAGGGAAGTGTGTGTAGAGTGTATATGTTTATGTGCGAACGCTGTAGGGAGGATGATACGTGTGTGTGTGTGTGTGTGTGTGTCTGGGGTGGGGCAGGGGAAGAGGGGTGTGCATGCGTGACCCTGGAGAAGGAGATGGGTGGAATACTGTGGATGGAAGAGGAGGGCTCAGGTTTAGGAAAGGAGCAGCTGAGAAGCTTCTGTTGCTAAATTTACAGTGAGAGAAGGCACACCAGCCTGGCGTCCAGACAATGGAGGGAAAACATGTGTGTAACCAGTAAATCCATCAGTCAAACATTCAGGAAAGAAAGGCGAAATAATCAAATAGTTACAGAAGAAAGATTAAAAAACAAGCCTTCATACAAAATCACAGTAAAAATACAAATTTAAGCCATTGTGGTTGGAYTTGACCACGCTGTTAGGCTCCATGTCATGCAGTTATTGTGAGGTCATTGAGAATGTGTTAGCTCTCGGAGCATATGTCCATGATGACTCTCAGCTGCTTCATCACTGRATTTTAGCTCATTATTCATGAACTTCAATAAGTTACAGCTCATAGTTTATTCAAAATAAATCGTATATAGAGTTTAGTTTTTTTGGGCAGAAATTTTAAGTATTATCTCCTCTTTTTATTTCAAAGGTTACAGAATATAAAAAAAAGAAACAAAAAAGAAGAGAAAACAGCATCAATTCAATCAACAAATGTAACTGAGTGAAGTAACAGCACCCTCTAGTTGTTGGAGGCACTTGAACATGATCTGTTCAACAGTGAGGCTGTTATAAACAAGTTTTCAGGATGTTGGCAGCATCTTTTCATCAAAGCTTTTTATTACTGCTAAGCTGTAAGTTTGGTTACATTTACTCATTTAATTTATCAACAAGACAAAGAAATGTTTTAAATTATTTGAATGAAGCTTCAAAAATACAATMATCATATAAACCAGCTGTTAACTAAATAATTGTTGTCAGATGTATGTTCTGTTCAAATAAAGGTACAGGAATTAGCTTAATTGAAAGAAATAGAAACAATAAAGCAGAAAATTCTTGAGAAATTTAAAGGGGCAATATCATGTAAAGTCAATTTTTTTTAGTTTTATATCAGATTATAGTGTTATCCTCACATCAAAAAATATGCTCAGAGTCTTGCTTTGACTCATTCATGCATGTTTGAGAAATCCTGTAATGTCCTGAGGCAGCAGGCAGGGGAGCAAAAATGACCGGTTGGGACTAAAACCACCTTTTGGGACCAGCTCCTCTGGGCTGTGTCTCCAAGCGGAGCTTCCTCATCACAGAGCATCCCGCCCTTGACTCCTGCAGGCAGAAATGGGCGTGACAGAAGCGGAAGTAGGTTCTTGAAGAGACAGAGGCCAATTTTAAGGTGTTTAGAAACATATATGATGAGAAGTCAAGTTTATTTTTGATTTAAAC